GTTTGGAGTTATCACTAGTGATGGTGATGTTATGCCTCCATTCAGGTCTCAGACTCAACACGAAGGCCTACATCAAGTGCCTTGAAGAGGTAGTGTTTCCCTGGGTCAAGAGGGTGGCTGCTGGAAGACAGTATATCTGGCAACAGAACTCTGCACCATCACACAACCCAATCATGGCTGTCAGACAATTTCTGTGACCACATCACCCTCTACATCTGACCATTTAATTTCAAGGCTGCAGCCCCTTTGCTTATTTTGAACGAGAGACCAACAAACCTCCTGGTAACACCAAGGATGAACTAAAGGCAAGGATTATGGCAGCATTGACCAACTTAAACAAGAAGACCGACAAGAAAAGATACAGAACATTCCGAAGCCATCTGGAAGACATGGTTGAAACCAATAGTGATTTTATTGAATGTATTTACACTTTAGTATTTCAAGATATTTTTTGTGTAATTTTGGTAAATACATCTGTTAAAATGAAATGTCAGTGTTATTTTGATTTTTGTGTAATTTAGACAGCAATTTATCCATCTATATCTATGTATATTCATAAAAATACAACTGTTTGATGCTTTTGCACACAGAGATGTTTTTAGCCGAGGATCATTAGGGGTTTTGGTATGATGTCCTTCATCTCCAGTCGGATACTGATCGAATATCAACTTGTGTCATACGTCAGCTACAACTTTTGTCATAATGCGCATAACACACGACAACTATATATATATATATATATATATATATATATATATATTCTGTGGTAGTGACACAAATGTCTTTCTTGGACTAGCAGTGAGAAAGTTCTGCTTGGAGCGTAATAAAACAATTAAGAATGTTTAACATCGAGAATGTTTAACATCGAAAAACATAAGGAAAGTTAATTCATTTTAATAATATGTGGAAATATCCGCTCTTTGCCTGAAGAAGGTCGCGAGATTCGAAACACTTGTTGCAAAATTATGGAAAATAAAGCATAATATATATTTTTTAAAAATCCACATATCCACATTACCACCAAAAAACGTTTGCGGTTTCTCTTCTTTTTTAATATAAAATATATATATATATATATATATATATATATATATATATATATATATATATATATATATATAGATAGATAGATAGATAGATAGATAGCCTTCGTTGAAGCATGAAATGGACTGTCGCTGCTTGGTGTTGAGAGCGCGCAAATGCTAAAATATCTTCGAAACGTAAGTTCATCTTAGTCACCTGATGTTAAAATGTATTCCCCACTCCATATGAAACCCAGGTTCATTTAAAATTTGGGACATTTAATAACTGGTTAAATGTCGATTACTATGTTCTTTCATTGAAAATAACCAACGATCATCGTAATTACTCGGAACATTATAAAAGTTCGCTAATTGTTCAAAAGTTTTATTTGATACCAGGAGTAACTCACCCACAAGCTTGACAGGCATTCTTTATCCATTCTATTCAATAAGCTAGATTTAGATGAAGACAGATTAGCTGAATATTCTCTATATCTACACAAATCTGTCACGAATTCAGGCAACTCGAGAAACTGAAATAATACGAAGTGAAAGTTGAATTAAAAGGACAAAATTTTATTAAAAAAAAAACAACAAAAAACACCAGGAACACGTATACATTGATGGGGAAAAAAACCTCCTTGAATAGCAACAGGTATCAAGAATGAGAGCTACTGTCTCGTAGCAACTACTCATATCAGGATGGAAGAAATTATCCATTGGACTTTGAATCTTCCAATCAATCTCTCAAACTAAATTGTTCTGTATAGTTCCTGACCTATTTTGTAAAAATCATACATACACACATGCATACAAAAATGCTTTGATTTGCTAAGAATGATTATAGCTAGTTGAATAATTATTAAATTATATTTAATATATATTAAGACCTTACCTATATACATACACAATGGCTGTTGACTCATTAAACAATTATGGTTATCAGTTTGATCCATGATTTTAGTTCTTATAAAAATGACAATGGCTCTTGAAGCCAGCAAGTAATTTGCAATACTTATTCCAGATGTGGCCAACTAAATTGTTCTGTACAAGTCCTGGCCTATTTTGGTAAAAATCATGCATATGTACATACAAACATCCATGCACATATACATAGATTCATGAACATGTTTATAGATTTCTTGTGACTAATAGAGATCTTTTAATTTGCTCTTGATAGCAAAAGATGCCATGGAAGCAATTTTACATTGTCCTCTAAATCTTTTAATCAGTCTATCAGTTGTTTTGTTGTTTCTTTATGAAGACTTTAAAGAGATCCTTATTTATTTTCTTCAGCTTTATAATGATGGTCATTTGATAATAAAAACTGTTTGCCAAAATTAATGTCTGAAAAGTTTAGCATAATTAATATGTGATTATGAATCAAAAGAGTGAAATAATGAGATTTACTAAGCTTATTTTAATACAAAACCAAATGATGGGGGAAAATTCAAGAAAGGAGAATATGTTGCAAGAAGAAAACTCTAAATGACAAGGACTTACTGGCCTTAAAAATCACTCTTAAAAATCCTGGATTTTATGTGTGTTCAAAAATGAACAGTAGGGAAAAATACAACTATGTCACCCATAAAATAGACACGAGATGTTGAAATAAAAATCATTGTCATGAAAGTAAAATGACATTTAATAAACAATGAATTGTTTTTAATGGTAGGCATGTTTAATTATAGTATTTTATAATAGTGTATTTTCTGATGTTCAGAGATGTCTTTTTACCATAATTTTAATTTGTTTTTGTTGTTGGCCTTATGTTCACAGAGACTATTAGGCTGCCATTATTATTATTGTTGTTTTTATCATTATTATTATCATTATTATTATTATTATTCATGTTTTTATTTAAGGGAAGTTCGTAATGTTTATTACTTCAATAAACATAAAGCAAGTCCTAATAGATTACTGAACACAATTAGTTAATTGTTATTATTGTTGTCGTTCTTAGAGTTATCTGGGGTGTCATGCGAGATCTTTTCTTCTCTTGCTTAAGGGGGTTGCTTCGAACGAGAATCCATTCTATAACGGTCGACACAGATATATATCAATTATAAATGCTACATAGAATCGTATCTCTATAATGAAGTTAGCTTTTCTTTGTTGCTATATAGCATCAGGAGCGTTCAGTTTCAAGTAACTTCATTAAAAAGATCGCATTTGATTGTATTGTGACAAATATATTTACAAAAATTTGCCGTATTTCGTCCATTGATTTTCCAAGAGAACCTGTATGAAAATGAGCAAAATGTTTGACTTATTGTGCTTTTTTAAGAAAGGTAAAAATGCGACTTATATATAAAAATAATGTTTTAAATTCACGTAGAACGTAATGTGTGTAATGGTACGTGTCAAATGTTGTTTGTGAGTTTTTTTATGAGATTTCACGATGCTGGAGACTGTAAAAAGCGCCTAAGTAGTATTTTATTGAGAAAGAAAAAGCCTTTCCTTATGAATTCTAAATTTGTCTGAAACATGACAAAAACTAATAGGTAAATATCTTGTTGAATAAAGTTAATCAAGAAAATAAATAAATGTCTTATTTTTATGTAACAAACTCAATGAACTTTTTGAATGAGACAATATTTTAGAACTTGTGTTTTAATGTTTCAACCAATGCAGTCTATCGTTGGTATTATTGTACAACACGGTATTTAGTCAAGGATTCTCGGCCTTGCTATTTGCTTTTGAGTGTGTCTTACTTCTTTTCAGCTGATGCATTTTTCAGCCCTTCTTGTCTATATTTTGCTAATTCAGAGCAATGAATGAACTACCTCTTTTTTGAGGGATCGAATTTTGACCTAAATTAAGTAACACTAAATGGCTACCGGATAGTCATTTCCAGATGCCTGAAAACACATTAACTTAAACTTAGATGCTAGGTAAGGACTAATAACAATGCAGATTCTTCTTTGGATATTTTAAAGAATATCTACATACATAGCAGAAGCACCAAACCACACAGGCCTAACTAAATATCTAAGAAAACACCTAACAAACTGAAAGATGAAATAATATATATATATATATATATATATATATATATATAAACGGCAAATGCTGTCTATCCGTCCGCGTGTCTGAAATTCCTCTAACACAGTCCACACTTGCTCTATATCGACATATTATACCTTTTTGGAATCAGGATGATCCCGGGATTGAAAGGCTGTCCCTCATGTGGTTCTTGAACATCCAACATTGGGATTTCTGTCAGGATGAGGAGGGAACAGTTAAAAATTCAAATTTTAAAACGACTGAAAAAAATTAATGATTTTAAGTGTTTAATTTATATTGAATTTAAAGTAACACAAAAACTTAGTGAATTTAATTTTTTTCGTTTTAAATTAAGTTTAAAATATTTCCCAAACTTTGTGAAATGACGAAATCAATTTTATTTTTTTCAAAATGCCAAACAATCTGAGTTAAAATGAGAGGTTTCGTGTCGTGAGATTTTGAAGTTCCGCAGAGTTTGTTATTTGAAAAACTCAAATCAGTTGAAGTTCCACGTAGTTTGTGATTTGAAGTTTTCGGCCTGAATTAGAATTTTAGGTCAAATCGGTGTTTCGGCCCAAATCGGTATTTCGGCCCAAATCGGTGTTTCGGCCCGGCCCAAATCGGTGTTTCGGCCCGGCCCAAATCGGTGTTTCGGCCCAAATCGGTGTTTCGGCCCGGCCCAAATCGGTGTTTCGGCCCAAATCGGACTTTTGGCTCAAATTAGGCCGGAATTAGACTTGAATAGCCCGAATCAGAGTTAAAATTAGGTTTCGAAATTACATAGTTTGAAATGAGGAATTCAAAGCTATTTTTTCAAAATTATAATTGCTGTTTTCTAAGCTGGACCAGAGATCTCTTTAGTCTTAGGCCGGAGACATCAATTAACGTTTTGCGGGAGATTGCTTAAAATTTCGCACCGAGTGCGGGTTTTAAGCTAGTTAATAATAAATGATAATAGTTTCAGAACTTCATAAAATGAAGTAAATAATTCATTTTGTTCTTTATCAAAAACTCACTTTGTTCTTTTCGCTGAGAGCATGTGGAACGTAAGAACGCAACTTGCTTACTTTTTGTATCTTTAGAAATTGTCGGCCTATGGTAAACTCCAGGGTGTTGAACGCCATCGCTTATAACCGAGTACGTTGCCGTAGATTTCTTTCAATTAAGGACTCCATCATTAAAATTAGATGAACACCTGCCTTAATCGTAAGTCTAAGCAGTTCGCTAAGGTCAAATTGATAGCTGATCTAAAATATGATAGACATTCTGTTGTTAACTGGTGCAAGGAATGACGTCTCCAAAACGAAAATGCTCTCTTTTAATCGTCTGAGAGAAACCGTTTTACCTTCCATCAAGATGTTTGATGCTAACCTCCAGGACAGTAACTCATTGTGCCTTCACAGATTAGCCTTTTCCGCTGATATGAAGTGGAAATATTATATTGAATCAATTAATAAGTCTGCTGCTACGAAAGTAGGTTTGTTGTGTCGTGCTAGGAATTTTTTTCAACAGAATCTATGTTATATATTTATAAGTGTACTATTCGTCCTTGCTTTGTATATTTCTGTCACATTTGGTTTGGTGCCCCGGCAACACATTTAGAGATTATTGATAAAATCCAAAGAAGAATCTGCAATGTTATTGATCTTGACTTGGCATCTCGGCTTCAGTCACTTTCCCATCACCGTATATATAGCTTCTCTGTGTCTTTTTCTATAAATACTTTTTTGGTAATTGTTCTGATGAACTTTCCGCTATGGCATCTAGTATTTTTTATAAATTTTAGCGCAGTACTAGTTTGGCAGCAAAGTCTCATCAATTTATATTTGAAATGGCTAGATGCGCCGTAAGTTTTAGGGTAACAGTGTCTTCTATCGCACTTCTCCCTTGTGGAACTATCTTCTGCCTTCTTGCTTCTCAGTCAACTTTGATCTTCCAAAAATTCAATACAATGTCAATCTTTACCGTCTGTCTTAAGTCTTATTCATTTATTGTTCTCTCGCTTTAATAATGTTTTTTTTTTCTCATATTCTCTCACAATCAGTAAGCCCTTGTATCTTAGTTGCTTTATTGCTTTTCTAGGGGGTGAAATGATTAAAAAAGAAAGAAAGAAAAAAACAACCCCCGCTTTCGTTCATTTACCAACGCTGTTTCTCCAGAACGAATCTTTGCAAATCATTTTCTTACTTTATAATTAAATATGATTCGTTGATATTTAAAAAATTATGTATTTTTTTCGATCGCGTTAGTTCCTTTGCATGAACTCAAAATGCAGTTTCAATCCTTCTATTAGTGGAGTTAATATATTTATTTGTACTCTACCACTGCCGTGCAAATACTATGTCAGGTTAATATACTACAATTTATTAACTGCTACATTGTAAGAATGGTTCATTTGTTAATACAATTGGTTGCGCAAAATAGAAATTACTTATGACTTAACCTAACATTTACGCAGAATTTTTTTTTTTCAACCGACTAAATAAAATGTCGCCTCGGATTTTACACACGGTAAAACATAGTTTCCTTCTTAGTTTTTGACAACGATGCATTCTCTCTACGCAAATGTCAAAACAACAGTGAAAAGAAAAAGAAAAAGCAAATAAAAAAGGATTGCGTGGCCGTGGATGGCGATGCTGTAAAAAATCAGCCTGGAGGAACAGACTGTTGTCGTCAGAACGAGGCGCAAAAGTGTCAATCTGTTCAAATACTCGTCTCAATGGTTTCTTAATGCATGTGTTTCTTTGAAAAGCTGTTTTTAAAACGTCGCTTTGATAAAAGATTTTCGCTTTCGTAGCGTTATTGTCTTATGTCAATCTTGACTTATTAGCATTCGGCCATTGTCTTTTTTTGTTTTTCTTTTTCTTTTATTTCTCGTTCTTTTTCTTCCTCCTTTCGCTTTATTACTTTTTAGGTGCGACACTTTTTTTTCAGTTACTTTCTTTTTTGTTACGTTATTTTCCTTTTTCGGTTATATTTTCCCTTCTTTTCTTCATCGATTGCTTTATTAATTTCTTTTTTTTTTCTTTCATTGTGCTTATCATTCTTTTCCCTTCCTCTAAGCCACTATTATTTTTCTTTATTTTCTTTCATACCCTCTTTATTTGTTTTGCATATTATTCGCTTTAAAATTGTCTTTCTTCGATCAGTTCTTTCTTTACTGATTCTTTCTTAAAACTATTTTCTTTTTGCTTAAATTTTTACTTTATTTTCACGTTATTTTTCTTTTATCTATCTATCTATCTATCTATCTATCTATCTATCTATCTATCTATCTATCTATCTATCTATCTTATTTTTATTTCTTTAAATTCTTTAAAGATACGATCTTTCCAAGTTCGCTTTCTTTTTTTCATCTTTCTTTCTTTTAATTTTCTGATACTTTTTACTTTCATATTTTCGTTTATCATTTTTCTTTTCTATATTTTCTTCTTTTTTCTTCTTTTTTATTCTATCTTTTTATTTTCATTTTTCTTCTTTCTTTTTCTATATTTTCTTCTTTCTACTAAATTCTTTTTTATTTTATACTCTTCTTTACCCTACACTGTTTTTTCTTCATTTTTTATTATCATTTCATTTTCTTTTTCTGTATTCTTTGTTAGATTTTTATATATTTTGTATTCTTTTTCCGTCGCTTTTTACATTATTATTATTATTATTATTATTATTATTATTATTATTATTATTATTATTTGTTGGTTTGTTTTCCCGCCTCTTTTTCCCTTCAGACACTCATAATATTCTTTTTGATTTCAATTGTTCATTTACTTTTTCATCCTCTCCGTGTTCCTTTACTTTTAAGGACTTTTGTACATTTCATTCGTTCATTTTTCTTCCTGATCTTTTTTTTCTCTCGCTGTCTCTTCTTACTTATGATTTTCATTCATTCTTCTTCGTTGTCGATCATTCGTGAATTTTCATTCTATTTCATTCCAACCTATATCTTATGATTCGAATCTTCTTATTCTCATCATCACTAGATTTCCGTATAAACTGTGCCCCTTAATCTCGAGTGGCTTTCGGGCCTAGTACATTATTCTAAAAAAAGAAGTATAAATAGAAAATAAATTTTCGGTTCTCTTCTTACTCTTCTTCTTCGTTTCCATCATCTAATTTTTCTACATTTTGTTCTCATCATTCGTTTTCTTTCTTTCTTTCTTTCTTTCTTTCTTTCTTTCTTTCTTTCTTTCTTTCTTCTCCGTTTCCATACACGTCAGCATTTTGTTTGCATCATCTATCTTGTTCCTTTCTGTCTTTTTTTCTTTATTTATTTTTATTTCTTCTTATTATTATTTTTATTTTCTTCTTCTTCTTCTTCTTCTTCTTCTTCTTCTTCTTCTTCTTCTTCTTCTTCTTCTTCTTCTCCTCCTCCTCCCCCGCTTTCTTTCGTTCTTTCTTCCTCGTTCCCATCATCATCTGTATTTTGTTTGCATCATCTACCTTCTTTCTTTCTTTCTTTCTTTCTTTCTTTCTTTCTTTCTTTCTTTCTTTCTTTCTTTCTTTCTATCATCTTCTGAATTTTCTTCTCATCATCCTTTTCCTTTCTTTTTTTTTTCATCTTTCTCATCCCCTAATTTCTCCTTTTTTTTTCCCTTCTTTTCTCCTTCTTTGCCTATTCCTCCTCACACGCCCGCTACCTATCAAACTATTTCACGGCTTTATTAAAAGCCAGATGGTCCAGCCAAATTCGGCCTGTCTTTCTCTTTGTGTCCTTATTTCACATTAATTACTAGCGATATTACACACACATTACACATTGTCTGTGTGTTTTTCTTCCTCTTCTTTTCAATTGTTGTCCGGCTGGGGAAATGAGTTAGCCCCAGCAAGTCGGGGATAAAAAGCTGTCGGGTAGCTGTCGCCTTTATTCTTTTATATTTATATCAATTTGTCCCTGTCTGACCTTTAAAGCTTAATTCACTCTTAATTTAATCCTCATTTTCATTTTAAAACCTTATTATGGGTCGTTAAGGATGCGGGTCTCACTCTTTCTAGTAGTGATAGTCTTTGTTTAGTATGATCGCCCCAAGTTTGTTTACCTACATCGTAGGTAGTCAAAAGAAACACCTGCCTTTTCTTTCCATTTATACATTTAATTTCAGTCGTAAAGAACCCACCTCTCCCTCTCATTAACTGCCATGTCCATTCAGGACGAAAATAATCATGGCTTTCCACAGCTTCCTTTAATTTATTATCTATAAACTCTACATTGCTACGATTGTTTCGTAAGAAAGAAAACAGAATGATTTTCCGTTGGTTTCAGTTATGCTTCTCTTAGATCGATTGACAATCAAGGCTAGAGATCACAGTCAACACTATTTAATCCATAGTAAGGGGAGGTAGAAATTAATAAACGTCCCTCTCAGCAGCAGCAGGTCGTCAGTTATAAATATTGGTCTCCTGTTGAGAGTAAATATAAAGAGAATATCAGTAAATAGATACTTAGATAAACAGAGATGACTGTGTGGGTGGCACTTAACTCAATTCGTAGGACTATTTGAAGTAACAACATTGAGGCTGATTGTTGAAGGAAATATTTTGTGCTGGTAGTGGTGGAGGGGGGGGAGCGGCGAGTTTGTGTTATATAGCGCAAGATAAAGTGTACCCGTATTGACGATTATGACAGAGTGTCGAGTGAACTACTTCTGTTGTTTACTTTATAACTACAATATTTTAGCCACTCTATTCGACAACCTTCATCAAGACGTGCAAAACTATCGCCATTAATCGTAACATAAATCATTATCATTCTAAGTGATTTTCGGGCCACTGAACTCACGCTATGTCCACTCAATATCTATGGAAGGTTTGCTACGTCGGACCGCTGCATTTCACATGGTTTCAGGGGATCCTACACTGTACTAGACAGCTAACGCATCTCATTACAGGCACACACTTATATGCATTGAAGAATTAAATGCATTTTTATTATTAGTAAATGCATATATATATATATATATAAACATATATATGTTTATATATATAAAACACACACACACACACACACACACACACACACACACACAACACACACACACACACATATATATATATATATATATATATATATATATATATATATACCCGCTGAAGATTGGAAGAACAGGTTCGCCTAAGAAACTCTGGAGTCAGGATGCTGAAGGTAACATCAATCACCCTATATATATATATATATATATATATATATATATATATATATATATATATATATATATGATCTAAAAACGGGAAAATGAAGAACTTCTGAAAAAGGTATATGGAATAAAATAAGAGGAAATTTTCCAGCTAAAAAAATCGTTGTTGGCAGTGATAAAAAATTTTACAATGATATTTTTATGTTTTATCATTATTAGCAAATATATACATATTACTATACACACACACACAAACACACTCACACACACACATATATATATATATATGTAGAGAGAGAGAGAGAGAGAGAGAGAGAGAAAGAAAGAAAGAAAGAAAATGATAAAAAAATAGTTTTAAGCTATACTATATTTATGTGGTAAATACTGAATCTCAGGGATAGGGCGTATGTAAATATAAAAGTGGATATTAAAGTCCACACCCAAAGGCGATAGTCTATTTCATGCTTAAACGTGCGTTGTGTTTTTGTTCGACTTTATTTATATATACCGGTCAGTGATGGATTATGGGTATTCTATTGCATTGTGGGTTGTCTATTATATTATTCTAACGGTTATTTTGGTGTGAGTACTTTGAAAATTTGTTTATTAGTTGCTTAGTTTATTTACTTATTTATTTGTGTGGATTAATTCATTTTACTTTTTTCTTTAATTATTTTCTTTATTTATTTCATTTATTCTTGTTCGTTTTTAGCTTTCGGTTTTTAAGGAAAGTAGTAAAAATTTGTTTTCGTGTCTTCATTTTGAGATGAATTCTGATCATTTATTTAGTAATTTGTTTTGGTCTGGGAAGGTAATTATTGCTATTTTACCTCCACGCAGAATTCACAGTTTTTGGATTGATTGTTGTAGGCTGATATTCTTTTTCTTATTTTCTATGATATTTTTTTGAAAGATTTGTTTTTTTTTGTTTTTTTTTTTTAATCTCACACATATATTTAGAAAGTATTGTGCTGTTCTCGTATTTATTATGTGTAAGAGTGTTTTGTGTGCGTGGTTTCTTTGTTTAAGGGTTCTTCAGTTATTCCAATGTATATTTTTTCTTCATTATCTACTGATTTTACAGTAGCTTGTTATATTGTTTTGCAAGCAATTGCCGTTTAAGGGACATTTGTTCTTTATACTGCAATTACACGTGGGTTGAATTAGTTCATGTGGTTTTTTCATTGTTTTCCTGTTGTGCTTTTTTTATTATTTGTGTTTTGTTCTCGGTGCAACTGTAGCTGATTTTTATTGCGTTTTTGTTGAATATATATATATATATATATATATATATATATTTCATTATTGCCTGATCTCTTTGAACTAGCTTCATCTTAATTCGTAAGGAAATGTCGTTTAAAGAGATAAGTGAATAATCACGGTAATAACTCTTAGCAAATTATCCATAGCTAAATGAAGCTATAATACTAGTCGAAAAATGTCATTTTTTTCCGTCTTTAGAAAGCATAAGATCATAAAATAATAATAAATGTCTTTTTATGTTTGTACCTTGTCATTAATATGTACCTGTCGATTCTGATTAGGATATCTAGCTTGGTTGAAAAAGTTACCCAACCGGTAGGGATAGACAAGTTGAAATACTCAGTAAAACTTGATAACCAGCAAATTCGACTCTGAAACTAAGTGAAAGCTGTTCCAGATCCGGATCAAAGACAAGGATTATGATGAATTAACGCTGACAGCTGGCTCCGTTATTACAGTAAGCTACCATACATGTACTGCATTCATAGACATTCACAAAGACGGTATTCCACTGGGACTTATTGTGAGTTGGCGTTGTTCCGCGTGTCACCTGCTAAGCAGATTCCTCTTAGGCATAACTCACCCAATAACTGAAAAGTCTCTGTTCTTTTGTAAAACACTTCACTGAGTCGTGAGAGATACTCCCATTCGTAGTACCTCCTATCGATGTCCGTCAAGATTTACGCTCTGTCGGTCCTTAGAAAATAATTAGATACGAAACCCACGCTACAAGAGCGCACAGATACGCAATTAGATGACGTAAAGTAAATGGTGACATTCTGTTTGTAAACATTATAGTTCGAATTGCATTTCAACAGGATGATGGCTTAACTATGGCATCGTCATGTTAGTATATGTTATAGATTATCTCCAACTACAGTAAATAAATACACGAGAAAATGGCTGAAACAAACGTCACAACGATCTGTGGCACAGATTCATAAATTCTAACTTTATTTTCCGACCCCAACAGGAATAGTTATTTTCTCAGCGCACCTTAGATGTGGCATAAGGCCGAAAGTACGGAGCAACTAATGAGAATCGAACTCACTTTTCAGTCGTAACTGATCTAGCGAGACAAGCTTGCTAACCATTACACCACGCGCTGGTGCCAGACCCGAACAGGAATATGTATCAATAAAACGACACATACAGTTTATAATGAAAAAAAGGAAACAGAAGATCAAATCGCCTTGATTAAGTGATAATGACATTCGTATATCATAAACCAACTTTCAACGGATAATACCTTTTGAAGTATATTTTTTTAATCATTTCACTCCAATCAAGGCAATAAAGCCACTAAGACACAAGCGGTCACTGAATTTGAAAGAATATGAGAAAAACATTATTCAATAGAGAGAACAATAAAACAACAGGAATTAAGTAGACAAAAGATGACAATTGATATTACAGTTAAACTTTTGAAGTTGACTGGGAAGCAATTCTTTATTTCCTACCATTCAAGCAGTTTTAAGAAAGGAATCTCACCTGCTTACACAAACGGACCAGATTTTAGCTACATGATCAGCATTAAGAAAAACTTTCAAGGTAACAAGGACACTATAAAGAGAACATGTTTCCGCAAGCAGAGACAGGAGGGTCGAGATAGAAATAAAAATCTTCCATATATAACGGTTGTATTGAAAAGGATGCAGAATATCTATACAAAATTAGGATAATTACTCATAAGAAGTTCAAGAGCCTCCTCAGGAGAAAAATGAGCAAGAATTATATTTCTTCATTCTATGTAGTTTTGGCGGGAAATTCAAGGAAAAGATTAGACGCCTTCTACAAGTAAGAAGGGAGGATAGTAAAAGTCTATTTCCTGCAAAGAGACAAACTTGGTTCCACTGGGTCTAACCTTCACGGCTAGGAAGCGCCATGACACTTATATAGTAGCAGACTACACTAATCACTACAATCTTAACCTGTTCAAGTCTAGAGACAACAGTTTTCTTCCCCTCATATTCATATAAACTTACCTCCAAGCGTGACCCTCTACCTCGAGTGGCTCCGGGCCTTGTACAGATGGAACCTTACTGCAAAAAAAAAAAGGTATGGCTGAGAAAAAAAAGTACTCTGTGATATGTGGCCAAGTTAGCAAACAGAAAAAAATCTTGTGAATGACTAAAAGAATGAGCACATATGTTATGCAATGAAAATATGCTCAGTAGACCCAGCATAGAGATGAATACCACCTGGAAACCTCGGATAAAAGAAAGCAAGTGCACTTATAAATTCCATCAACTGAATAAGAACACATATATTTTCCCTACCTTAGTTAGTAACCGGAAAATTCCACCACTGAAGACAGGGCTTTTCATAAAAT